TTAATTTCAGTAAGTTTCCGTGTTCTGTTATTGGTTATCTTTGCCACGTGGACCGCGGTTTGGATTCTGCTGTTGTCAGTCCATGTAGAAATTGGGTTTGTGACACGAACTGAACAGTTGCATGTTAGCGTTAGCCGTTAGCACAAAGCTTACGTCGCCTTTAATAAAATGTACTATAAACCTTTTCCATGCTAGCAAACTCACACAGTCTACATCTTAAATGTTCAAATGTGTCCAAGCATGAGTTTGGGCAATAAAGGCGTATTTGGAGCTAAATATATGTGAAATGTGCATCATAAATAGCCATTTGTTTATTCTCCCTGTGTAAAACTAGCGTCATGTTTACGTAGAAGCACTGTCAGTAAACTGCGCGCACATACCTCGTCTTTGTTTCTGTAGGGCTATACCAGAGATAACGGCTCTATATTTATCGGTTTATGAATAATCTAGGATCTAGTGAATATGGTAACTATTAGTTACGATCCTTATTTGTGAAGGTGTGTGTGAATGGGTGAATGAGACTGTAGTGTAAAGCGCTTTGGAGTCCCCTGGCTCTGAAAGGCGCTATACAAGTGTGGGTCATTTATCATCCTCATCATCATCTATTTCCCAAGTTGTTGCAGCAGGTATAATGAGGAAAGCTGGTGTGACTTGTGAAACTGAGTTCTATTTAATTTTCTAGTTTATTGAATTTCACACAGTTGCATGTATTCTAAGGCTAATTTATTTACATCTGGATGTTCATTCTAGGAACTGAAATTGAAGGATAGGTATAGAACTAATCTGCTGTACCCTATCTGGGAGAAAATACCATGTTTATTTAATTTTTAATTTTAATTAAACATTAAAATCACTGGACACAACTAGTGGTGAAACTGAGCAACATGATAACATATAAAATGTAAAAAGATTAATTGATCATATATTCAGGAGCTAAACATTTGCATATTGGATTTGTGGCATTTGACTGCTCATCCAAAAGTGTCTGTTCTGACAAGTAGCGTTTTTCCACCGTTATGCTCAAAGTCTTTTCTGTGGAAACTGGCATCGTATGTAAAGTAGATCTTTGTGAAAACTTCCTCTGCAATGCAGGCTCACCATGCCAGGAGCTTGTTAGCCAAGTTTATGGTCATATTCTTCTCTGACTGGATAAAAAGCCAGTCAATATTAAAAATGTGGAACACACTATTTATTATTTCTGATTATAATCAGACACACTGCATTTTTCATGCAGGCTGAACATGAAAATAGTTTCCTACACCCATGTCTTGCATTAGCTTCTAGAAACTCTAGGATTTGAAAATTGTGACAGATCTGGATCACACTGTCACTTACCATTCATAAAGTCACCCAACTTGAGTTTCAAAGGGGAAGGCTGTTGTTGGCTTAGCGTCCAAGAAACAGAATGTCCTGACTAGTAGATGCTAACCTTTAGCATTAGCAACTCCATTATCCAGCAGAACACCTTCAGCCATAAAGGTATAGCAATCAATGTTTTTTTCCTGGTTGAATCACGTCAACCATTGGTCCGCAAAAATGTCAATTTCTTTTGAAGCCAATCCTAGGTTAGTTTTCACCTCCTGCGCATGCGTACTCTGTGCACCCCCTCACTGTCATGGAAGTCAGGAAGAGGCTAACGCGGTCCAGTCTGCTCCCCACAGACGCCGCTGTTGCCGGTTTTTCTGCTCGAGAGGCAAGCTAACGTTCTGCATGCTATTTTTAGAGCCTCTTATTACACATTACAGCCGGCAGCTACTTATAAACAGGTGCTGGGAGAGTGTTGTGCAATGTGGAGAGGGCGGTTCTTTCCTAAAATTCAGAAACATCGATTGCTATACCTTTAAGTTATTTGTGGCGATAAAACATCAATGATGCAGAGCAAATAGTCAGTGGTAGTTGCGTTGCTATTAGTCATTCAGAGACATGATTCCAAATATCAGTAAATAAGACTCCAAATAATGCCTTGTTAAGCTCTTTGATGGTGTGGTCTTTAATTTCTTCCAGTTTTGACTTTTATTAAGCAACATTGACTGTACATTAATTAATCAAGATACACTTGTTTTAATGGTTGTGCAGGCCACCATTTAAATGGCTTTTAAATGGCACACCATTTACATGCTGCTTGGCACAGCTAAGTATGCCAGATTGTAAATGGTGCAGACCTACTGCTAGTCCCACTCAGGGAACCGTCCGTTTAAAATGTTCTCATTTTACATGTTTTCTTGACTAGCTTTAACTCTTATACACTTGACTGTTTCTCTTCATAGGGGGACATTTATGTAAGCCTCTTCATGTTTTTAAGAATAATAATATTTTTTGTTTCGTAATCGTATTAGTGGTTTTCTCTGTAATCACTTATGACACTTTTTCCAACAGCTCTACTCAGTGCAACACAAATCAAATTGGTCCAGCTGAGCAGCTTGTCCATCATTAATGGGCTGTGTTTGCCATTAGCGTTTCATGAACAATTTAAAACTGATTCACCCTCAGTTCCATCAGATGTTTTTGGATGTGTTTTAGCTCTTTGCTTCACCTCAAAACACATTACTTGTACATTTACTTCCAGCTTCTGCCATGATGCCAAAAAAAAAAAAATTCTTCTGCTTTTTATTGACTGTCGCTGAACTGAAAAAGCTAACTGCTAGTCTTTATACGAGCTGTCGGCACAGTAATCAGCTAACAGCGTTGAAGCAGGTAGACCCTTGGACATGAATACATAGACACCCCATTAGGGGCTGGAGAGAGGAACAGCATCACTGCCATATAGGGAGCCTAAGTCTTCTCCCCTTCTGGCCGGCTCATGGGTTCCCGGAGGAACGAAAAAATAAGAGTCAATGGGGCTAAAAGAGCTATTTTCTAATCCGCTTTGTCATAGGCTCTGAATTGCACATATATTGTACTTCAAATTAATTGAAAACCAATGATGAGTGTTTTCACCACGCCAGTGACATACTTTGAAATTCATCAGCTTGTAAAATTTCGTAATTATCATGACTACAAATCAGACATTGGTACATCGCATATCTGTTACTTATTTAGGATTTCAAGGTCGCTGAACTTACAGCCATCTTCCCTCTGTTTTTCTCCGTGTCTGGTTAGATGACGTCACTTTTGTGAAGCGCATTTGTAGTCCTGGACTTATTTCACACAAAACCTGAAATGGCGTTTCCCCTCGTTTGGAAACAAGCGCATTCTTGGTATCAAAATTTGTCTTTAAATTCACTGACATCAAATGTGAAGTCCATAGCACATAACAAGCAGACTTAGAAAATAGTGCTTTTAGCCTCATTGACTTGCATTCTTTTTTTCTTTTTTTCATTCTTCCGGAGACCCATGGTCCAGAAGAAGATGGGCGGACTTAGGCTCCCTATTGGGTGGGTTCTTCACTCTTCACACCTAGCCAGAATCAATGCAGAGTGAGCAGCTGTGCCCATTTTTGTGCAGCTTACGGTTGCAACAACCAGCCTACCATTGAAAACAGATTTCATAATTTTGGGATTTTATATTTTTATTTTGTTTAATTATATTCCAATTATCATGCAATACCATATGTCTTGATTTTGTGAAAAAGCATAATAAAATGTGTTTTTGTAGTTGGGTAAACATCTTCCTCAGTAGAAATAAATGCACTGGGGCAAATGGAGACTCATGCAAGATGATGGCCGGCTACTACGGCAGCTCCAATAGGCAGTGCCAGTTCTCGGGACGTCTGCCTAAATGGTATCTGTGGGTAGATCTCCCACTGGTGTTCCTACCCAAAACACAAAAATGTTAAATGCTGTTTCTCATCAGCAGAGTTTAGACCAGTGTTCAAGTTAATCGAGTTTATGACTCAAGAACCACTGATACCAGTTTGAAATGCAATAGTTTAAAGTGCTAAAAACTATTTAGAGTTGCTTTAAAGTTGTGAAATAATGTGTCCCTTCCCTTTTCCCTACAGGAGATGTCAGCTTTGTGTGGTACCAGCTGCCAAGATCTTGGTCACCCATCCACAGAGAAAGAAGCAAGTATAACATTAAGTATATAATAAATTTACCTTATGGATCTCAATCAGCCAAATGGGAAAACTGCCAAGTACAGTATTCTACAACTACTGTATGCATACATTAGGACACCACCAGATCACATTACCATCCATAACACCTCTGGATCTTTCTGCGTGAAAGTCATTTTTTGTTACATAAGGCAGTTTGACAAGGTTAGATCATGAAGGATTTGAATGTTTTGATGACCTGCCAAAGTAGAAATACCGTAGATTCTTACTGATTGCACATTGTGTCATAGACTGAGAACAAAACACATTTGAGGGTAATAATCCAAATACTTGTGTATGTGACACACTAAGCTTCATCCTATTCATTTTGTTCATGTCAGAAATTAAATCATGCTAAATGTACCTTGATGATCATCTCTAGTCTTGTTGTTTTGTTCTCATTGTGTAATAACAGAAAAAAAAAGGATGTGGCGTTTCCTCCGAAAATTATTAATAGAAAATGCAAATGTGCATACAAAAATTATGAAATATCAGAAATCACACTTAGCACGTGCTACAACCTTGTACTGATTTTCTTCATATGTGCAACTTTCAGTGTCTCAGTTTTTGGTGATATTGTCTGTCTCCAGACGTTCTTAGCTGCTGTGGTATTCTGCAAAGCAGTTGCAGACAAAACTAGGGCTGTGTTGAAAAAAATCGATTCTCAGATTCTGAATTGATTTTGAATCGATTCTCATAAATATTCATGAGGATCGATTTGTACATCCAAAGATTGATTTAACCCGTTAATAGGTTTGGGCATCGAGCATCGGTTGGAACCAGTTCCAACTGTTAGTTTTTCCCGGAATCGTTCAAAGTTTTTTTATTTTGATTCCTAGTTTTGATTCCTAGAATGCCGTCCAGAAGAGGAATCCGCGGCCGATCTCTGTAAAAAATAAGCGTGATCTGCAAATTGTGATCAACGCTTTTCAGAGCTGATCACACCAGCTGTCTGTGTGCAGCACGAGTCCCCCCTCCTCCACCCGGCGCGCAGCGGCCAAATATAAACAAACGCGTCTGCCGAACTTTTCCTCCGTAATGTAAACTTTAACTTCTGCAGCGTAGAGGAAACTTGTTAAAATATGTCAACACAGTGGATTTAATAGAAGCTTTAAAGAACAAACTCTGGACGTTGTGAGGTGAGTTTGTCTCACTGCAGAAATAAAAACACACACAGATCGTCAGCAGTCAGACGCAGTCAGTTACATTTAGGTTTCACTTTCGGTTGTGACTGAATGACTCCTGCAGCATGGAGGTGTAGTTCTCAGTCATCCTGGACATGATCATCCTGAGAGTGTTAGCTGAAAACAGCTGGACGTTTCTGGATACGTTGGAGACATTTAGCCTCTCATCCCAGAGGATTCTTCCAGACTTTGGTTGTGGTCAGAAACAAACACACTGGTTGTGCTGCAAGTCTTTTTTCTTTTTTTCACCAAAACATGTTTTTGTCTAAATGAAGGTGATGTTATTGTTCATAGAATAAAAATTCATGTTGAAGTTAAGATTATTTCATCAAGTAGGACGTGTGGTTAGCTAGCTCATGTGAAACATTAAATTACATTAGATTTAGATTAGATTTCAGATTTATTGGCCAAGTAAAATCAAGTCTAAGTCATTTATTGTCATTTCTACCACATGTGCAAGACATACAGAGAAACGAAATTGAGTTTCAGTACACACAATTCAGAGATCAGACATACATGGGCAAGACACGTGACAAGAATTTGTGACTGCGGTCATTCGCAACCTGAGTCGCGCTACCTTACATTTACAAGGAATTTAGCTTCGGTAGATGTCATGTCATGTCTTGAAAGAATCGGAATCGGGAATCGATAGGAAATGGAATCAAAACAAGGAATTGGAATTGGAATCGGAATCGTTCAAAATCAAACGATGCACAACCCTACCCTTTAAGCACCAAAGTTGCAAAATTGCAACAAGTGTCATTGCTGACTTTAATGAGCGACAGCTGCAAATATGATCCCTCATGAAGTTACTACTTTACACCAAAACATAGTGGAGATGTTTATCTTCAGTAGTCTGAGCAACACTATGGGTGTGTTTATATTGAAAGTTTTTAAGAGTTTGAAAACCGCCTCTCGCCGGGACGCTACCGGGGGACGAGAGGAGGAGACGAACGCAACACACACAGGGCTAATATTATAGGGACAACTTACAGTTGCTGAATGGTCTGGTCATTGTTGACGCTTTGTCTGGTAAGGACTGACTCTGATTCAGAAGAAGAATATTGTTTCTAAAGATTTTCACTCATCCAGTCAGAAAGAGAGATGCTGCTGCGCGGAGCAACAGACAATCTGTGCTTCACATGAAGAAAGTAAGGTTAACGGAGCTTAAATGTTCCACACGCCAATTCTGAAGCTTTCTCATCGTGTTCGGGATATGGTGGGTGTAGAAAGGATAGTAAAAACACCGCTAATGATGACATCCGTAGTGGGAATGTAAAGAAAAGCAAACGCACTAAGTATTTAAGTCAGTGTGCCACACGATATGGAAGTCAGAGTGCCACATAATCAAATGAAAATTCCACATATCCCAGCCATCTGTGGTCCAGACAGGGATCTTTTCATGGAGCTAATGGTCATTACATTCAAGGGAAGGTCAATCCTGAAGATGTTCAAGCCCAAAGAAATCTGACCAATATTGCTAAAAATCCTTTGTCATGGGTGAGACCAATATAAATATCAAAACGTGTGTGTGTGTGTGTGTGTGTGTGTGTGTGCAGCTACAGCTTTTGGACAAATTCTTAATGTGTCATTTTTAGTAATGCCCTAGGTTTGTGTTCCAATAGCAGTCCACTGATTCAGTTATCAACACTTCTTACTTCCTCTGTTGGCTGTCCTGGATCTGTTTGCCTTTTCTGCCTGACAGCATGTTTGTGAAAGCAAAATTCTGAGAGAAGGATTGGGCCATAGAGCCATTTTAAATGGCCAATATTTCATGACTTTGTTTTATCGGATCAAATCGCAATAATTGATTCTAATTTTTGAGAATTGGAATTGATTCTTGAAATTTGAATCGATACCCAGCTTTAGACAAAACCCTTTCTTGCACTTTTTGCTCATCCAGGGAGTGTGCTCTTTTTGCACAAGGTACACCTTCCTCCCCTAACTTGCCCCCTGTGCTTTATCCTGTCCTTCTCTGCCGGTCCAGGGGACGGGAATGTGACCTTGAGTGGAGGTCACTGGAGGGTTTTGATCAACACCAAGCAGCTGTGCACCCTGCTAAACCCAGAGTGACTGATTAAAATAAATAAATAAAGTTTCAGTGTTCCACATCTTTAATTATGTTCGTGGCAATATGTTAGCATTACACAAGCCTTTTAGAATAAAGCAGCTAATGCTATGCCTATTTCCTAAAACTTACTAAAAATTGCATCTAATAATTTGCTTCCTCGAATAATAGCTGCATTGTTTACTCATTATGTTTCTGCAGGCCAATGACTTCATGTTTTTCTAATTCTGATTATTGTCACAGTTGTCTTATCAGCCACTTCAACTGGTATTATGTTGTAAATGGGAGAGGGATGTGCTAGAGCAGGGGTCGGCAACCTTTTCCCATCAAAGAGCCATTATTACCCGTTTCCCACAGTAAAGAAAACACTGGGAGCCGCAGCAGCCGCGGCGTTGTGGGCGGGGCCTACCCTCAGACAGCAGAGAGCTGCTTTAACCAATCACAACAGGTGACAGCAGCCAGTACCAGTCGTTCGTGTACCTCAAAGTTATCTTTCAACAGAAGATAATTAATAAAACAGTTTGTATAAAATTGATCCAAAAATGTAGCTCGTCTGCTACAATATTTCGATATTTTTCACCCTGCTAGTGGTTTTAATAGCTGAGCAGGTGACACTTTTTGAGGAGTCACACATAACTGTTCACAATACGAATCCAGGCTCTAGTCTGTCTCGTTGGACTGTTGTAATTAAACATTGTACTGAACTAAACTTTCCATTAAACATTGTTGAAAAGGATCCAATCAGTTAGTTTTTTTTCCCTCTTTACACTGACGGAGGTAACTGCGCAGTGCGTGTGACTCTGGTGTTAATCAGGTTTAATGTTTCTGTTTGCAACAATTTTCACAAGAAGGCAAAACAGTGAAATGACAGGGTTCGCACTGACCGGATATTTCCCGTATTTGATTGTTTATTTTGATGGAGAAATCTCACAAGCCTGCAGATGCGCTGACATTTTAATCGTTACGCACATCGTGGAGGTAGCTACACCAATCAGGAAAAGATTCCCATCAGAACATCTGAGATGGACACTGAGCTCAGCGCAGCTCGCTGTCAGCGCATGCGTACGGTGGACAGCAAGCTGAGGATGTGTAGATCAAGGACTTGGAGCACATCACAGAACCAGAACCATGCAGGAAGATTCTGTGTTTTCTAAACTCGGTCTCTCAGAGACTTGTCACTTACAAATGTTCCCTGATTATGAGTCTTTGGCTGAATAGCGCTTGTTCCTGTCTCCAACACTGCTACGCATCCATGAGCCTGTTTGAGGAACAGTCCAGAATCTCATATCCTCTTCAGCTCAGAAAGCGCCTATAGACTTATTTGATTAGGCACAAACAGGTGACCTGTTCAGGTTTACGCAGACAATCTTTAAATTTAGAATTGGCTACAGATAAAAATGAATGCAGTAAAATAAAATACATTGTAATTAAATATTCATCAATTAGTTTACAAGCAGAGGGCCGCATCAGATGGATGAAAGAGCCGCATACGGCTCCAGAGCCGCGGATTGCCGACCCCTGTGCTAGAGCTAGACCATCCAGAACAATTGTTCAAATTGATTCAAACCAATGAAGTATGTTATTTAGTAAAGTTATATCTGTATATATATTTTTAGGGTTCCTTTTACAGGGAACTACTGTGGTTGCATTGTTCAGGAAATTGAAATATGTGAAGAAAATGTGATTGTAATTTTAAAGAGATTGATAGATAGATTGATTGATTGAACACACAATATCCATTTGGTGATATAAATTACTTGTTATTGCAATGTATCTACATTTCCTACTGTTTATTACTGTATGTGGACAGTAGGCCAGTTCTATGCCTGCTGATGCATAAACAGTGTTTTCTCACCATTTTAGACAGTGTATGTGCTGGAGACTACAATGGACTCATTATTTTTCTGATACAAACACAACAAGGTAACAATGCTTAGACTGGCATCTTGTCTCTTGTCATGAGTCGGCACACCAATAGCTGACCAAGTGAGTGGTTAGAGATGAGGTTTGCTGTCAGTCGCTACATTAGTGATATGAATATGGTTTAACAACAAAAGGGCAGTTCTCCAACATAGCACAATATCAAAGCCTCCACAAAGCCTTGGTGTTTTAATTGCAAGGTGCCCTTTGAATTATAGGAAAACCAGGTTATTGTTTAATGGAAATTGCTGATGCTGTTTCATATTGTTCAGTTTTACTGTTTGCTCAGATGGTGTTTATATTCTATTAGGTTTGTTTGAATTTTTGAACAGGTCAGTTTTCAGTCCTGATTTACACATTTAAATTACTTCGGTGGCTAGTGAATTTAGCCATTGTTTTCTTTTAGAGAGCATCTGTTTAAAGTGTGACACAGATGAGCATAATGTTTGCATTAAATTTAGCCATTTCTTTGTTTAATAGGGTTGGTGTTGTAGGGCCTATGTAGCAATATTGCTCTCACACACTAGTATTGGCTCTAAATTAGGTGTGTTCTTATTTATGTAGTCTTGGATTTTCCTGCGTGCAACCTGCCATCTTTGCAGCCCTCTTCCCAGTGTGGTCTGCCTGGAGCTGAACAGGTCTACACCCACTGCCAACTGAGTGGCTAGCTCAAATTCATACCATACCATATTTGTAAAAGCATATTTCATAATAGCGTGTCAACTGACCAAAGTGCTGCACAGGGTTCTTCCTTAGGGAGAGCCTCCTATTGCCAGATAGAATCAGCCAGTGGGGGCTTCCTGCATGCGCAAATCATTATCATTCTGGATGCTGTGGAGTTAACAAGCCTCTGACTGAAGCCGTTTTTCTCTGTCTCTCACCGCTGTGAGGGGCGCTCAGTAGGTCAGTAGAACAATAAAAGTACATTTCTCTTTACTTGTTTGCAGTAATTAAGGGAATCTGCAGCCACTGATAAAAAAGTAGATATTTTTCTAAACTGCCAGCAATATCATTACCACAAGTGTTTTTGAGATTCTACTATATCAATTTCAGACCAAATTGGCGATCCCTAGTGTGCAAAGAGTGCAATGTCAGCTACATGCCAAATGGACATTAATTTATTTTACTATACGAAAATAAGACGATGTTAATATATTATGCATAATAAAAAACAGAAACAAAATAAAGGCATGCAGCCTTTGCATCTAAATGTTTTTAACCAGTGTTTCTTGACATCCCGCAAACATTTTTTTTTACCTTTTCTTCACATTTGGATGGCAAATGTTTCATTAGATTATTTTCTTTTTGTTTGACATAGTTAATAATCATACAATAATCTGTTCAGGACTACAGAATAACATTTATAGATTGCACCATGATTGCATGTGGATGTGTCTAAATATTGTCTGATAGCTGTAGAAGCTTGGCACAAGACGAACATATCATAACAAGTAAAAACACACTGCAAACACACAAAATTACAAAAAATATTACAAAAGCATTCCCAATGAACCATAATCATAAAAAACACATTCCCATTCAACATCTCTTGAGAAACTTCTGCAACACATCAACACATCAGTGAGAGTACAAACTAGATTTGAATTCCACAAATGAGAGATTGGCCTACCTTGAGTTGAGTTTTTTTCCATGAAATCTTTCATTTAAATAACCAAAATCAGTAGCATCTGTAAATCCTTAAACACCATCATGTGTCAAACGGAAAATTTGATTATCTTAAGAAAAATCTTCTCGTTTCTCAGCTGATATTAAACTTCCCCAGCTGGGTCAGTCTCAATGAGGGAAGAAGACTTGGTGACAGAGAAAATCAAAATAATGCAAATGACCCATCACAGGATTTTTCATAGTGCACATTGTAAGACAAAACTACTTTCTACACTTCCACCACTGTCACATATAAAGGCATATCTTTAAGCTTTTGAGCAATTTTGAAGCAGCCTTTCATGCTCTTTGATGTGGAGAGCTGTCAAGAGGATATTTTGCTTCTTTTCTGTTTTTTGGTCAGTTGTTAGGAAAAAGTAGTTACATAAAACATGGGCTTGCTTGGGAGCAGTGATCAACTGTGACTTTAATATATATGTTTCATACTTCCCTGTATCTGTGCAAAAATCTCTGTATAACATTATTGGTTGGTTTACATATATTTCCTGTTATACCCACACTCTTTATACATGCCTATTTTCGATATATCGGTAGTGTTGTTATGTACTTAACACATTTGTGCAACACTTTACAGTAAAGGCCTCTTTATTAACATTACTTAGTGCATTATTAAGCATTAATATACTATTAAATAAAGTAATAACGACTGCTCAACCATATTATGTAATGCTCCCTTTGTCCTAACACTTAAAAAGACAGTGTGCTGCTTTTACCTAAGTACATTGGAGCAGGTCTATATATCTGGGTGACTACATATTACACCAGGACCACATCAGCTGCGAAGCACCGCAAAGTGGATCGCTCACAAAATTCACTCTTTGCCCGCTGCTCCTCGCATCAGACAATATTGTTTGACGAGCGCTTCTGCTCACGCATATTGTTTTCCAAGCCGATGTGCTCCCGTGAAAGAAGAGTTTCAGAGTTTGCACTCTATAGGCCTTTCTTTTGAATTTGTATAATGCTCCCAAACCTTTCAGCGACGTTGTGACTCGCCACTTTCTTTGGTGAAGGCTGAGCTGGATGGCCACCACTGCACATGTGCATCAGAGCTAAAGCGGCAGCTGAGCTGAAAGGCAGGAAGCAAACGCAGAACGTGCCACAGCAGGCGAGATAAAACATTTGTTTATAAAGTAAGGTCTATTTTTTTTGTCGTCGTGATGAGTCGACTAATCGTGGCAGCCTTAACCATCTTGCTGCAGCTGCCTTATGCTCTGTTTTGGCTCGAGAGGGGAGGGCCTGGTGATGTATCGTGCCAGAGTCTGTGGTTTTAATTGGTTAGGAGTAAGTAGTGAGTCTAGTATGCTGATACCTGATGGGTTATAATGAAAAAAGGAAACTTTTTTTAATCGAAGTTTTATCGACCTGTTTTTTTAATCTATCGCACCACACGTCTATATTGAACTAATGAATTATCGTCCAGCCCTAATTTTGATAAAGTTTTTACTACACGTTGGAAACTCATCAAACAGAGTATTGTGTGTATTTGTTTAATCTCCAAAGTGCATTGGCAATTGGACTTTGCACTGAAACTCAGTTTAAACTTGAGTCCTTATGTTTGTGTTTCAGGACAAAGAGCATCCACGTCTACTCATTCCAGAGTTATGTCGACTCTTCTACCAGTTAGGATGGGTAACGGGTACAGGAGGTGGGATCAGCCTGAGGCGAGGGTTCGTATGTACTAATAAAAGCTTCTTGTCAAAATCTGTTTGGGAGAACTTTCTGTTTATTTTTGGGAGATCAGTCTTACTTTGAAACAATTGTAAACCCAAGGACATGGAAAACAACAGCAAGCTACAATTTAAATAGTAGTCTTTGACAGCCATCAGTTAAATGTGTAGATTTAAGTGGAAGCTACAAAGAAAGCAGCACCCATTAGCAAATGGTGAATAGAAAGACAGATGTTAATTTAAAGTGAGGGTCAATGCATGGGTAGAGATGTATTTCATCCACACTTCCTGTTAGGAAAACGCTTCTGAAAGAGGCATCTCATGTGGACCCAGAGCGCGGCACTGAGGCAGTGATAGACTTTTTATGAATGCACATTATTCTAAAGCTAAGCTGTTTCACACAGAAAGGTTGCCTTTTTGGCGAGTCTGATTTTATTTTATTTTGAGTCCTTTTCATCCTCTCCTCCACGGTAGCTTTTGTTTGACTCAGAAGTGACTCACAAACAGAGACAGCCTTTCTAAACCCTGCTATCAAAATCAATAAGATTCTTCTTTATCTGGACAGGATAGTTGCTAGATAAGGAACAGCACGGCAGCTTTCTTCTTTGTATTCTATTGGCTAACGCCAAGGCTCCAAACAAGATAGTTGTAAAAATTTAAGAAGATAAGCTGAGGCTGTCTGTTTAATGCTACAGTTTTTCATTCATTTGCATGTCTTTTGTGGCTTTATTCTGTTAGGTCTTATCACCAAGGCCACGGTGTAGGATTTATTTCAGACACACTGTGCAAGTTGGGAAATTACATTTTAGACATTCCAAGCAGTCATAATTTACAGTGAATTAACATTTCAGTGAGACTTAAAAATTAATGTAAGAGAGCGGGAAGATAGGTAAATGACTGTAGGATTTTGTTTGTGAGGGGAAAACGGTTTTGTGAGTTTTCTATATTTCATATGATACTGTAGCAGCAGTTTAAACCCATTTTACCATTTTCTGTAATTGTTCTTTTTTTTTTTTTTTTAGAGCAGACTAGTTGCATACCACTTATGAAAAACAACTATGTAGCTTATTGCTTGTCCTTTTCCTAAATACTAATAAAACACAAACTTTCTTTAAAACTTACAGTGATCAGATTTACGTTGCGCCGTCAGGTGTCCAAAAAGAGAGAATTCAGGTAAGCAGGTTCTGTGGAGGTGATGAGTCACAGTTTTGATTGAGCAGCATGAAGAGATCAATGTGGGACAGTTTCGGTCTTATTATTCTAATGATTGTTTTCTTCAGCCAGAAGATATGTTTGTGTGTGACACAGAGGAGAGAGACATCAGCTTCCCACCTGCCTGGAAAAAGTTAACGAAAAGTCAATGTACACCGCTTTTTATGAATGCCTACACTATGAGAGGTTGGTGACTTAACTGTGCATGAGGGATGTTTTTAAAGGCATGAGAAACTATGTAGTGAAAGAAAAAGAGAATTGGAGAATACCTGATCGACACATTATTAGTGCTTAAAGCAAAACCATAGAACTAAAAACTCCCAGCACACAACTCAGTAGTGAGTAATAAATGACAATTTAATGACTTGGGAGGAGTTTTAATAACTAAGTGATTCATTAAAAGAAGTTGACAGATTATGAATGAGAGGCAAGTCTTTTCAAAGTTTTATTTGCTGGATTACGTGTAGATTCTTTTAAAATATTATGGGATTTAGAGTTCAGCTTTTTTCTGTACTGAAACAAAAGAAACAAAGTGCAGGTTGGGTTGGGTGACAGTTTGTGGTTTTTAGCCTGCTTAGTTCATTCAAGAATAAAACAGGACAATCAACAAAATTTAACTTGGAGACATTTGAGAATCCGTTGGATTTTGGAAGTTGGCCTGATTTTATTTCTTTTATTCCTGATGTTGTTTGTTGTGGACTAATGAGTTCAAATGAGTGCAAATGTGGAATGACATTTGCACTGCAGTCGTGCATATTTCCCTATTATAATTATGCCTTTTCTTGTCTTAATTTAGTCACAGTCCACACTGATTTCATTTACAGTTTGGTCTAAAATCTGCAATACATTTCTTGCTTATTATGACCCATGTAACCCAAATTATTAAGAATTCCTGATGCAATTATTCTGTGATGGTTTTAAGAAGAATGTTCAAGGCGATATGAGTGGAGATGCTAACAAGATCAAAGTAATAACATCTGCAGGCCACTGGCTGTAGCTTGAGATATTGTGGCAACAAGTAGACACAGTTCTTTGTGACAGTAAATTGTTGTACACCTAGCCAATTTAGGACAACCTTTAACAACATCATGCAGAAAAGAGTTCCTGACTGACTTACACACACACACACACACACACGCGCGCGCACACACACACACACACACACACACCTGTGTAGGTATTCATAGGACCTAATATAAACTTGAATGTGTATCCATTTATGTTTAGACATGCCTGTTAACACTAAAATGTCACGGCCAAACCAGTGGAACACAAAGCTTTTGCCAATTTGTACCTTTAGCAGCAGAGTTGAACCAAAGCTAGTCATGCGGGCACAGCAGGGAGGAGGGCAATGTGTGGGGTAGCTTAAAGGAAAAACACAACTATGAGACCTTTTGCTTTTACCAAAATATAATTTCTAAGTATCAATGCCAATTTTTGTTGTATAGCATTTCAAAAACAAGAAGGGCTCTACCATAGCAAAACAGTTATGAAAGAAATGAATAGACTAATAAGTAATGAGAACATTTAACTTTGGCAAGGCATAAGAACACCATAAATCAGATTCCTCAAGTCAGATCACTAGGATACCAACAGGGACATTGCTGTTAATTGATATTAATGCTGCTTTTTGTATAGTATCTAAAGCCTAAATAAATGAAAATGTTCTTTTTTTAAAGAAAGAAATCACATTTGTTCTTGTAAAGTTATAATTAAAAACTTAACTTAAAGGTTGAATATGGAACACGAACACAAAAGCGACATCTAGTGTGTGGAGGTTTTATTTGCAACAATCAAACACGGTTTCCAGCTGTCGGGATACCAGGTTCGCTGCCGATTCCTGATTTATTTTTTTCATTTTGGTCCATTTGTTGTAGGCTTCACCTAAACTCACTCTGGTTTTAGATTTTTTATGGTTGCTCCTCTTCTGGGATCAGAAGCAGCTGCTTGACGTGCTGAGTTCGCTATTTTCCACAGTGTCAGTCTCGCTGTGCCGAGCCAACTGTTTGGCTACCTGCAA